TTGCACTCATCTCACACGCTAGCAAAGTAATGCTCAAAATTTTCCAAGACAGGCTTCAACAGTATGTGAACTGTGAACTTCCAATGTTCAAGGTGGATTTAGAAAAGGTAGGGGAACCAGAGATCAAATTGCTAACATCCATTGGAACATTGAAAAAGCAAGAGAGTTCCAGAAAAATATCTACTTCTGCTTATTTGACTCTGCCAAAGTCTTTGACTGTGTGGATCACAACAAACTGTGGAAAATACTTCAAGAGATGGGAATACCAGACCACCATACCTTCCACCTGAGAAATCTGTATGCAGATCAAGAAGCAAGAGTTAGAACTGGACATGGAACAACAGACTGGTTCCAAATTGGGAAAGGAGTATGTCAAGACTGTATACTGTCACCCTGTTTATTTAACTTATATACAGAGTACCTCATGAGAAATGCCAGGCTGGATGAAGCACAAGCTGGAATCAAGATTGAAGTGAGAAATATCAATAACCTCAGATATGCAGATGACACCACCCTTATGGCAGAAAGTGAAGAAGAACTAAAGAACCTCTTGATGAAAATGAAAGAGGAGAGGGGGAAATTGGCTTATAACTCAACATTCAGAAATCAAATATCTTGGCATCTGGTCCCATCACTTCATGGCAAATAGATGGGGAAATGATGGAAATAATAAGACACTTTATTTTGGGGGGGTTCCAACATCACTGAAGATGGTGACTGCAGCCATGAAATTAAAGGACATCTGCTCCTTGGAAGAAAACTTATGACCAACCTAGACAGCATATTAAAAACAGAGACATTATTTTGCCAACAAAGGTCCATTTTTCATAGCTATGCTTTCTCCAGTAGTCAAGTATGGATGTAAAAGTTGGACTATAAAGAAAGCTGAGTGCCGAATAATTGATGCTTTTGAACTATGGTGTTGGAGAAGACCCTTGAGAGTCCCTTGGACTGTGGGAGATCAAACCAGTCAATCCTAAAGGAAATCAGTTCTGAATATTCATTGCAAGGGCTGATGCTGAAGCTGAAACTCCAATACTTTGGCCACCTGATACAAAGAACTGACTCATTTGAAAAAACCCTGATTCTGGGAAAGACTGAAGGTGCAAGGAGAAGGGGATGACAGAGGATGAGATGGCTGGATGGCATCACTGACTCAATGGACATGAGTTTGAGTAAACTCTGGGAGTTGGTGATAGACAGGGAGGCCTGGCATGCTGCAGTTCATGGGGTCCCAAAGAATTGGACACAATGAGAGACTGAACTGAACTGAATCATTAATTACACCAATGTAGTCATGCCTACATAAAATTGCCTACATAAAAATTCTTAAACATCCAGATTTGGGCAGTCTCTGAACTGGTGAACCATGGCCAGATGGGTGAACACAATAAAGTGCTGAGAGGGTGGTGTGCCTGGAGAGAGAGCATGGATGTTCTGCTCCTTGCACCTTCCCACTGCACCTCACTCATACGTCTCTTCCATCTGGCTGTTCCTGATTTGTATCCTTTATAACAAACTAGTGAGTAAAGTGTTTCCCAGATTTTCTGTGAACTATTCTAGTAAATTACTGAACCCGAGGAGGGGGTTGTGAGAACCTTCTGACTTTACAGTCAGATATATGGGTAGCTGGTAATTATGATCGGTGTCTGGAGTAGGTACAGGTTTGTGAGACTAAGCTCTTATCATCTGGGGTCTCCAATAACTGAGTAGTTAGGGTCACATATGAATTAAATTGTAGGACACCTAGTTGATATCTGAAGAGGTAGATTATTAGATGGTATAAGGAAAACCCACACAATTGGTGACATAAGTGTTGAAAGGGAAAACATTTTAGAGTCATTTGAAAGTGAATGTTCAAGTTGCTCAGTCATGTCCTACGCTTTGTGATCCCATGGACTTATATAGTCTATGGAATTCTCTAGGCCAGAATACTGGAGTGAGTAGCTGTTTCCTTCTCCAGGGAATCTTTCCAATCCAGGGTTTGAACTCAGGTCCCCCATATTGCAGACAGATTCTTTGCCACCTGAGCCACCAGGGAAGCCCAAAATTTAAGTAAAAATATTCTCAACCAGAAAGAGACTGTTTTGAAACATTTTGTAAATCCTCATGTCTTGACTTTTCCTGAAGAAAAAAGGAGTAAGGTTCTTGTGAAATTTAAATTATAAGAGTCAATGAAAGCATTTTTTAAATATAAAATTAAATGAATTTTGGTCTATGAAACTTCCCAGAAACATTTATTATTTTATTTTATAGACTTAATTTCTTTATAGTTCTCTATCTCTGTCTGCCCCTCTGTCTCTTTCTTGCTGTCTCCTACATTTAATGAAGAATGGATGTGTATTAGTCATACTTCTAGAAAGAGAGTCTATAGTAGTAAGTCTAGATCCTTTCAAGAGATTATAGGCTGAAAGCCTGGTATGCAAACAAATACCTGTAATAGAATATAATTTAAAATAAAATAGATATTATCTCTCCTCCTCTGAGAGATCACAGACAGCAAGCCATTTGAGGAATCAGGTGATATTTTAGATATTTATTTCATTTCGAAAAATGTAGGACATTTCAGTTCAGTTCAGTGACCTCAGTACTCTCTGACTCTTTGTGACCCCGTGGACTGCAGCACGCCAGCCTTCCCTGTCTATCACCAACTCCCGAAACTTACTCAAACTCATGTCCATCGAGTCAGTGATGCCATCCAGGCATCTCATCCTTTGTTGTCACCTTCTCCTCCTATCTTCAATCTTTCCCAGCATCAGGGTCTTTTCCAATGAGTCAGTTCTTCACATCAGGTGGCCAAAGTGCTGGAGCTTCAGCTTCAGCATCAGTGCTTCCAATTAATAGTCAGGACTGATTTTCTTTAGGATTGACTAGTTTGATCTTGCAATCCAAGGGACTTTCAAGAGTCTTCTCCAGCATCACAGTTCAAAAGCATCAATTCCTTGGCACTCAGCTTTCTTTATAGTCCAAATCTCACATCAATACATGACTGCTGGAAAAACCATAGCTTTGACTAGATGGACCTTTGTCAGAAAAGAAATGTCTCTGCTTTTTATTTGCTGTCTAGGTTGATCATAACTTTTCTTCCAAGGAGCAAGCAGTTTTTAATTTTATGGCTGCAGTCACCATCTGCAGTGATCTTGGAGCTCCCCAAAATAAAGTCTGTCACTGTTTCCATTGTTTCCCCATCTATTTGCCATGAAGTGATGGGACCAGATGTCATGATCTTAGCTTTCTGAATGTTGAGTTATAAGCCAACTTTTTCATTCTCATATTTCACTTTCATCAAGAGGCTCTTTAGTTCTTCTTCGCTTTCTGCTATAAGGGTGATGTCATCCATGGATCTGAGGTTATTTATGTTTCTTCTGGCAATCTAGATTCCAGCTTGTTCTTCATCCAGCCCGGTATTTCTGCATATAAGTTAAATAAACAGGGTGAAAGTATACAGTCTTGACATACTCCTTTACCAATTTGGAACCAGTCTGTTCTTCCATGTCCAGTTCTAACTCTTGCTTCTTGATCTGCCTACAGATTTCTCAGGTGGAAGGTGTGGTGGTCTGGTGTTCCTGTCTCTTGAAGTATTTTCCACAGTTTGTTGTGATCCACACAGTCAAAGGCTTTGGCAGAGTCAAATAAGCAGAAGTAAGTATTTTTCTGAAACTTTCTTGCTTTTTCAATGATCCAATGGATGTTGGCAATTTGATCAATGGTTCCTCTGCCTTTTCTAAACCCAACTTGAACATCTAGAAATTCATGGTTCTTTTGAAGCCTGTCTTGGAGAATTTTGAGCATTGCTTTGCTAGTATGTGAGATAAGTACAATTGTGGGATACTTTGAACATTCTTTTGTCCTTCTTAATTTGCATTGCCCTTCTTAAGAATTGGAATGAAAACTGACCTTTTCCAGTCCTTTGGCCACTGCTGAGTTTTCCAAATTTGCTGGCCTATTGAGTGCAGCGCTTTCACAGCATCGTCTTTTAGTATTTTAATTGACTCAGCAGACGCCCGCCTGTGCCGCGGGCCGAGTCGTGGGTGCAGGGCAGCCCGCTCAGCTCCTTGGCTGTGGCTCTTATCAGGCAGGCAGCCGGGGCGCCCCTCCTGGAGGAGGAGGAGGAGAAGCAGGAGGAAGGCGGTGGGAGGAGGATGCCAGAGCATGGCAGTCGCGCCGGTGCCGGGCGAGGAAGCGGAGCGGCTGCCATCGGAACGTCACGGTTGGAGACTATGTTTGGGGAGCTGTGGCTATTCCATTGTCCTTGGGAACAGGCTCTTAAGTAGTAGAGAGGGAGGAACAAAGAAGAGACCACATCTCTGAAGGCCTGGGAGCCGAAGCCGTCTGAGCTCAGTAAACCCCTGCAGGCGTCACCATGCTGTCCTGAAATCTTCCACCAGATTAATTCCACGTTTTTACCAGAATGAATTATGCAGCAGAAGTCTCTCGTAGTTTAGATTAAGCAGATCATCCTGCTGAATCAGGGATGTGACCACAGGCGACTGCTGTGAACTCTGCCTCAGCTTCCCCACTCATACAGAGCGGGTACTACTGTTGTTCCTCCCACCTTTAGCCTCAAGCACCTGCGTAGCTTTATCTGGGCAGCATTTTTAAGGACATCACTTTTATGAACACGTTGAAACCTCACCGCTAACTTGGATGATGGACACCAATACCTCTAAGACCACACAACTGATGAAGCTGGGAGGCAGGTGAGCCAGAGCAGTCTGGCTCCGGACAGTCTGGCTCCAGAGGGGAAATGAAGCTGGAAAAACCCATGGATGCAGCCTTCCCTGCAGTCCGCCCAGATGTTCGAGGATAATATACCTGAGAGAAATTGCGTCCCTAGAATCAGGTAACTAGTCAGATTGAAGAAAATCAGTCTTAAGACCTTCCTGAAATCTTTCAACTTGAACAAAGATGACGCAGAATTCATGGCCGTACAACAGCCAGCACCAGCCAGCAACTTCAGGGAACAGGAGTCCTTGTTCGGGACCTGCTGCCGGAAGGCGATGGCCGGCTGCGATCTCCACGGTGAAGATGAAAGGGGCGAGCATCGATCCAAGAGCGAGCCTCCTGGGCACGCTGAAAAGACCGCTAAGTGCCAAGCGGAAGGCCGAGGGCAAGGGCTGCGCGGCGTCGGGAGCTCAGCGGACGAGGACGAGCTCTCGTTGTCGTCGGCGCCCCTAGTGTTCAGGACTTGCGGCTGCCGAGTCCTGTGCACGCCACATCACCGTGCGGCCACCACTACACCCCAGGCCCTGGCCGCTGCACCCCACCGCCTCGGAGGAGATGTGCATCCAGAGGGAGGTGCAGGTCAAGGCGCTGGTGCACTCGCCCGACCCAGCCTGGCCCTCAGCGGCGTGCGCAAGGGCTTCAGTGACCTCCGCCAGGCTGACCCCTTGTGCCCGGAGCTGCCAGACCCGCTCGGGAGCCCCGTGTCCCCGGCCGGGGACCTATGCCTCTGCCTGGGCGAACACGTGCCTGTCGTCCTTGGACTGCTGGCTTAGGACCTCATCCGGTACACTGTGCCTTTGGATGACTCCTCCCCCGTGGAGGCCTCTGCCATCCCACCCCCTGCTGCCGGGGTCCCCTTCTGCGGCCACCACCATGAGGACTACAAGCATCCGGCCCACCCGGACCTCATCGTGGCCCCCGAGCTCTTAGCCGACCAGCGGTGGGCGGCCTGCTGATGGGCCCCTCGGGGGTGGTGCTGCAGAGCTTGCGGTCGGCCCGGGTGGGCCCCGAACCCCGCCCCGCCCCCACCAACACGCACACACACAGCGCCGCTACCTCCCCTGCATTCTGATCTGAGCCAAAAGAACTTCGCGGGGCTGGCCTGCCCAGGCGCCCACGTGGCTGAGAGCGCCCACGTGGCTGAGAGCGTGTGCTGCCACTCGAATTTCGACCCCAGCTCGGCCCCCAGGGTATCTGACTCGGTGCAAAGCAGGGGCCCCACGGTGGTGACCAGCCTGACGGAGGAGCTCAAGAAGCCGGCCGGGCACTGGGGGCCCGTCACCCGCTGGGAGGCGAGGGCAAGCCGGTCAACGTGCCTGGTGCCTCCCTCCTGCTGAGGGGGCGCTCCGACGACCGCCACCTGCTCGGCAAGAGCCTCCACTCCCACCGCAGGGCCCTCTACACCAGAGTGGAACACTCCAACGGCAGGCTTAGATTCGACGAGCAGCTCGGACGTGGAGGGACTCGGTCCATCGTGGGCCTGATTGAGCGCTCCATCGGGGACTCGGAGAACAGGGCCTTCTGACACTTGGGCTCGCGCCTGCTGGGCTCCGCTGCCCACCCGGTGCCGCTCACCAACCCCGTGTCGCGCTTCCTGCAGCCGCGCTCCCTGCAGGGCCTGTGCCGCTTCGTCATCCGCCAGTACATCCGGATAGACCTGATCCAGAAGCTGCCCCTGTCCAACAAAAGGAAGCATTCCTTACAGAAGCACCGCCGAGAGAGGACTGCAGCCCGGCATCGTGCATTGGGAGTAAGAGAGACTGAGATGCAATTTACAGACTTCGCGATTAGAATCTCTAGAGGCCGTATTATTTCAGTTTTATGTGGCTGAGTATCCAGCTCGCTTAGGGCTGGGGAGCTGTCCGCGAGGTGTCTCGGGTTTATCTCGGTTCTTTAGAAAGGGAAGTCTTGAGGTTTGAGGAGTGTGAAGTCTCTTCCATCGATGTGCAGAACAATCACAATGTGGATGGTCACTCTCCTTACTCACCCACCCCCTGTGCTGCTATCCACTGTGATTTTATGCAGTAAAAGCACATTTCATGTGTATCCAATCCTGAGTAAATTTGAATGAAACTTACGGAATGAACCTGTTATGTCTCTCTTTCAATGGACCATCTTCAAAGATAGCGTTGAGTCAGCATAGCCGTGTGATTAATCACAGAGTTTATACCTACACCAAAAATGATTTTTAACTTCATGCTCTACAAAGGTTTATTTAGAATTGTGAACCGACATAACCTGGGGTAATGGAACGCAGCTCTGCTACATATCTTTCTGCCACATTCATTTGTAAATTATGTTTGATGTTTTGCAGTCTTTTGGTTCTGAGAAGTTGGATTTTTCTGTTGCCTTCATTTTCATATCGTGGTTTGTCTGTTTTAATAAGCTGCCTTACATTAAAAAGTTGTCAAGAAATGTACACCATCAATTTTAAAATTGTTGCCTTTTCTGTCATTAAACTCTGGTACAAATTGGCATAACATATAAAGACCTATGAAACTAGAACTATTAAAGAAATTATTAGATGATCTTAGTTTCCTGTGATAAGCAATTTTTTGTTATCTATACTTTCCTCTGGTGAAATGTTTTATCTATGATTTCTTTAGCTTAGACAACACTGTCTTGGGTGAACTTGATGGAGAAATGCTTTTCATAAATGGATGAGATACTCTTGCAACATTAAAATCTATAAAGTTAAAAAAAAATTTTCAACTGGAATTCCATAATCTCCACTAGCTTTGTTCTTATTGATGCTTCCCAAGGCTTATTTGACTTCACATGCCAGGATGTCTGGCTCTAGGTGAGTCATCACACCATCATTGTTATCTGGGTCATTAAGATCTTTCTTGTACAGTTCTTCTGTGTATTCTTGCCACCTCTTCTTAATATCTTTTGCTTCTGTTAGATTGATACCATTTCTGTCCTTTATTGTGTCCATCTTTGCATGAAATGCTCCCTTGGTATCTCTAATTTTCTTGAAGAGATCTCTCGTCTTTCCCATTCTATTGTTTTCCTCTATTTCTTTACATTGATCACTAAGGAATGCTTTCATATCCCTCCTTGCTATTCTTTGGAATTCTGCGTACAGATGATTATATCTTTCTTTTTTTTCCTTTGCCTTTAGATTCTTTTCTTCTCTCAGCTATTTGTAAGCCCTTTTCAGACTACCTTTTTGCCTTTTTGCATTTATTTTTCTCAGAGATGGTCTTGATCACCATTCCTATACAATGTAATGAACCTCCATCCATAGTTCTTCAGGCACTCTGTCTATCAGATCTAATCCCTTGAATCTATTTGTCACTGCCACTGTACAATTGTAAGGGATCTGATTTAGGTGATACCTAAATGGTCTAGTGGTTTTCCCTACTTTCTTTAATTTAAGTCTGAATTTGGCAATAAGGAGTTCATGATCTGAGCCACAGTCAGCTCCTAGTCTTGTTTTTTCTGACTGTTTAGAGCTTCTCCATCTTTGGCTGAAATGAATATAATCAATCAGATTTTGGTATTGACCATCTGGTGATGTCCATGTGTAGAATCTTTTCTTGTGTTTTTGGAAGTGATTGTTTGCTATGACCAGTGCATTCTCTTGGCAAAACTCTATTAACCTTTGCTCTGTTTCATTCTGTACTCCAAGGCCAAATTTGCCTGATACTCCAGGTATCACTTGACTTACTACTTTCACATTCCAGTCCCCTATAATGTAAAGGACATGTTTTTGGGGGTTGGGGGGGGCATTAGTTCTAGAGGGTCTTATAGGTCTTCATAGAACTGCTCAGCTTCTTAAGCATTACTGGTTGGGGCATAGACTTGGATTACTGTGATATTGAATGGTTTGCCTTGGAAACAAGAAAAGATCATTCTGTCATTTTTGAAATTGTACCCAAGTACTGCATTGTGGACTGTTTTGTTGACTATGATGCCTACTCCATTTCTTCTAAGCAATTCTTGCCTACAATAGTAGATATAATGGTCATCTGAATTAAATTCACCCTTTCCCGTCTATTTTAGTTTTCTGATTCCTAAAATGTCAATGTTCACTCTTGTCATCTCCTGTTTGGCCACTTCCAATTTACCTTAATTCATGGACCTAACATTCCAGGTTTCTATGCAATATTGTTCTTTATAGCATCAGACTTTACTTACATCATCAGTCACATTCACAGCTGGCATTGTTTTTGCTTTGGCTCCATCTCTTCATTCTTTCTGGAGTTATTGCTCCACTCTTCTCCAGTAGCATACTGTGCACCTATCAACCTGGGGAGTTCATCTTTCAGGGTCCTATCTTTTTGCCTTTTCATACTGTTCATGGGGTTCTCAAGGCAAGAATACTGAAGTGGTTTGCCATTCCATTCTCCAGTTGACCACGTTTTCTCAGACCTCCCACCATGACCTGACCATCTTGGGTGGCCCTACACAGCATGGCTCATAGTTTCATTAAGTGGACAAGGCTGTGGTCCTTGTGATCAGTTTGATTAGTTTTTTGTGATTATGGTTTCTATTCTGTCATTTTCTAAAGGATAAGGATAAGAGGCTTATGGAAGCTTCCTGATAGGAGAGACTGTGGGGGAAACTGGTTCTTGTTCTGATGGGTAGGGCCATGCTCAGTAAATCTTTAATCCAATTTTCTGTTGATGGGCAGGGCTGTGTGCCCTCCCTATTGTTGACCTGAGGCCAATCTATGGTGGAGGTAATGAAGATAATGGCAACCTCCTTCAAAAGGTCCTGTGCACTCACTGAAGCACTCAGTGCCCCCCACCCACAGTAGGATGCTGCAGGCCCATGCTTCTGCTGGAGACTCCTGGACACACAGGCAAGTCTGGATCAGTCTCTTGTGGGGCCACAGCTCCTTTCTCCTGGGTCCTGGTGTGCACAAGGTTTTGTTTGTGCCCTCCAAGGGTGTGTTTCCCCAATCCTGCGAAAGTTCTGGCAGCTCTATGTCGGGGTTAATGGTGACTCCTCCAAGAAGGCTTGTTCCACACTGAGGTCTGCTGCACCCAGAGCCCCTGCCCCTGTGGCAGGCCACTGCTGAAGCCTGCCTTGCAGGAGACACTCAAACACTCAAAAGCATGTCTGGCTTAGTCTATGTGGGGTCTCCTGGTGCACACAAGGTTTTGTTTGAGCCCTCTGAGCATCTCTGTTGGGTATGGAGTTTGACTCTAAATGCTATTTCGCCCCTCCTACCATCTTTCCGGGGCTTCTCCTTTGCCCTTTGGCATGGGGTATCTTTTTCTTGGTTGGATCCAACATTCTCCTGTTGATGATTGTTCAACAGCAAGTTGTAATTTTGGAGTTCTCACAGGAGAAGATGAGCACACATCCTTCTACTCCACCAGCTTGAGATATTTGAATGACATTTAAACAATATAAACTTTTAAAAATGAACTAACAATAAAGATGAAAAAGTGCTCAGGGAATGGTGAGTAATTGAGCTTTTTTGGAATTGAATCATGGAAGTAGAATAGAAATGTATAAGCTAAGACAGATAAAGCATTTTGAAACTATATTGTGGAAGTTTTTATTCGAGCGCCAGTAACTTTGCACTTACTTCTTTAGGTAATGACTATCTTATGTATACTTTTCAAAGAGAAGGTGAGTTAATCTATTGTATATTAGAAATCATCTCTAGATGATAGAATGAGGAATGGAGAGGCAAGAGTTTAGGGAAAGGAAAAGAGATGGAGAGATATTGATCAATCATGAAGAGTATCCAAAGCAAAAGTGTTACAGTGAAGAAAGAATGGATATGAAGAATATGAAGAATAGTTTAGAAAGC